TGAAAAAAAATTGGTGAACACTTGAAAAAAACTTGGCTCACCTGAAAAAAATTGGTGAACACTTGAAAAAACGAGCCGCACCTGAAAAACATTTGGTGAACACTTGAAAAAAAAGGGCCCACCTGAAAACAAAACTGGTGAACACTTGAAAAAACGAGCCGCGCCTGAAAAAAAATTGGTGAACACTTGAAAAAACCCAGCCGAATTTGGTGAACACTTGAAAAAATGGGCCAAATTTCGTGAACATTTGAAAAAAAGGAGCCCGAAATTTTCAAAAGTTCACGAAATCCAAGAGGGTTTATATATATATATATATATATTTATATTTATATATATATATATATATGAAAGAGAGGGTTTAGGGTTTAGGGTTCTTATTCCTGAAGGAGCTGGAATAAAACCATAGCATAGAAACTCCGAGCCGTCCAGTCTATTCTACTTACGAAGGCCTCTATATCAATTTTGTTCAAAGGGCCTTTGAGCTGCGAAAGATGGTCTAAAGCGCTGGTTGAAGTGTTGCTCTATGAACATTTACTGGGTTCGCGGCCAAAGCCTGTGAAGCTCTGCACCCTGAACCCTACCTGGGTCAAAGAGCTTCCGTCGCATTTTCGTGGCAATTCGACCTGCTCCGAAATTTTGAGGCTGTCCTGCTCTATATTCATTTTATTGCAAGTTTTTTGAAAAGCATTGTTGCTGATGAGTCTTCCCAAAAAATCCTTATTGATGGCAAAGTTGTGTTCTTTCTCACCGACAGGCGCATTCTCATCATGACGACGACCATCACCATAATGCAAGTGACTCCTTTATGGCATTAGGGAGTTGAGGGTTTAGTGCCAAGTGATGGTAACGCACTCACCGTGGCAGTCGCTGGGTGCCAGCTGCCCTCGACCTCTCTTGAATGGCGCAGCACTCAGCACCCTTGCATTGTGTCATCGGGTTCGCTCCACAGATGCCTTTGAAGGGAGGGTTTAGGGTTTAGGGTTTAGAGTTTAGGGTTTAGGGTTTAGGGTTTGGGGCACTGGCCCAAAAGGGATCACCTCCGCCGGCGGGCAGTTTGGGGACAATTGCCACGTGCTTTCTCGTGCTTTGTGCCAGGGGACTTCTGCAACGAAAGAGGCCCAGGGTCGCTTGCCGATGTTCTCGGCTTTGATGTTGCGGCTTAGGGTTTAGGGTTTAGGGGTTTAGGGTTTAGGGAGACTTGTTTAGTTTGGGCACTATACCCGTAACGGTGTATTCTATCTAGTGCATTCTCATGCTTTCTGCTGTCCTACGTCTCGAGAGCTTCGGGCCTTTACGGCCAAGGCTTGTGGTTTGAATTCGCAACGACAGTTGCAGCATCAGCAACAACAGTAACAAACCCTAAACCCTAAACCCTCAGAGAAGAAGCAGAGGCCTCGTAGGCGTTTGGAAGTGGTCGGTTTTCGAAGACGCGACTTTGCACGTTGCGCGCGGCATGCGTATGACAACAGCTACTTTGTCGACAAGGATCTCGGGAGTATTGCATTACTCGTGCTTCATATCTTTTCGGTGCCGTCCCTTTCCTGGACCACACGTGATTTTCGCGGTGGAAACATCATTTACATTTTGGATGTCTCGGTATGTCGGAAATGTTTTTCGTGTGACCTGCTGCCTGGGACAGATGCCACTTGACTGCGGCATGCGTGTGCCATCCCCCGCATCCCAAGCTGAGGAAACACTGCCAGAATCGTTGTTGTAGGCACGTCAAGCAGACGAAGCAACCAGGGTGTTATCGACACGTCCGACGATCCTTCAAGCCGCAAGAAGCGTCGGAAACACTGATTTTCAGCGATGTTTGCGGCACACACAGCAGCGTAAATATAGACGGAACGGCATGTCGAAACTGCGTGCTTACACATACAGCAGAAACCACAGCAACCACAACAACCACAACCACAACAGCAACAGCAACAGCAACAGCAACAGCAACATCATCGACATCATCACCAACAACACCTACAATACCTACAATACCAACTGCACCTACGACCACGACCAGGACTAGGACTACGACTACGGCACTACGGCTGCTACTACTACTACTACTACTACTACTACTACTACTCCTGCTGCTGCTGCTGCTGCTGCTACTACTACTACTACGAAAGCGACGACTATAAGAATACCCACAAACCGTGACCCCGAGCCCACCCGAAACCTGGCACAGGCGGCGGCGGTGGGGACCTGGTGTTCATGGAAGCCATGGCCGGGGGAATGCCAGAAATGGCAGGCTTCCCACCTAAACCTTGAATCCTAATGCAGCATACTAGGCGAGAATAGTGTACCCTAAACCCTAAACAACCCTAAACCATAGCAGTAGTCAGAAGAGACGAAGTAAGACGAGCCACGTAATCTTAAGAACGCCCCAAGTCCTGAGTTAAAAATCCAAGACCCCGCGCTCCGCACCTCGCAAGCCAAAAGCCCTCCGCTTCTTGAGAGTTTAGGGTTTAGGGTTTAGGGGGGTAGAGCTCAAAGGTCTTTGCTCCAACTCTTAGCCCCAAACCTCAACGGTTTAGGGTTTAGGGTTTAGGGTTTCGGGTTTGAGGTTTAGGGTTTAGGGTTTCGGGTAACCAGCTATACGTTAAGGATCCAAAAAGGAAATCCTCAAACAGGAAGAATGGAGACTGTAGGTTAACCCCAAACCCTAAACCCCATAGAACCCTTT